ACGCTTTCAAAAAGGTTGCCTGAAAGTTTGTGAATGCACGACCGAGAGTTACTATGGGTATTGATTATTGATAGAAATATGCAGGAATTTATAATGTTCTTTTTGATTGCAGCATGTAGACATTGCCGCATTGTTGATAAGGTACAATACTGATGTTAACGCTACTGATCGCTGGTTATTTACGCCTTTACACGAAGCTGCTCAGAARGGAAGAACACAACTATGTGCCCTTTTGGTAAGTACTTGTCCTATTATAGTGTTGTCATTCTCAATCTGAATCGGTTTTTGATATTTTAATGGTATAAATGGTGTATGTTTTGTGTTGTACAGTTAGCCCATGGTGCTGATCCTTCAATGAARAATCAAGAAAATCAAACTCCTCTTGACCTTGCATCGGTAAGTTCAGTGTGATTATAGCAGTCTTTATATAATATGTGAAAATGTCTTCATTTTGAAGTGAAAAGGGCYGTCAAATCTCATCATCTTAGTGTAAAAATTATTCTTTAAAAATATGAATTTGATTCTTCTGAATTTCATTGAAACGCGGTTTAATTTAAAAGGATTTGTACATAAAAACCTCATTAATCCGGTCACTGAATGGACATTGTAAAGTGGCTGTTTACCGGACAGAAAAAGAGGGTTTAATTCAATAGGAAATATAAATCTGGCCGTAATAACAGAGTRGCYGWAAAWGCGGCGTTCTACTGCCTGTGGTCATCCAGATGGCTCTTATCTGGCAACTTAGTTGTGCTATGTTATTCCCTGTCATATCATAGGATTTAAAAGTGAACAACCAAAACAAAAAAAAAAAAACAAAAACAAAAAAAGGAAAAAAATGACAGTTTTTTCAATGAGCACCCTTTTGAATTCTATTTCAGGCTGAAGATGTCAAGTGCTTACTGGGCGATGCACTTCTCACACACAATTCCACTAGTGCAGCATCCGCCACTCCAACMAAAACCCCCTCACCTGTCTCTACTGCCGCAACAACAACTGGTGCATCTCCCTTATCGACAGCCAACAGTAGTCTGCTGGCCAGTAGTCCTGCAGGSTCAGGTGATGGTGCTATCAGCAATCGATCTGTTTCAGAGGCCCAGGGACAAGCTGCAGATAAACATGGAATATCAGGTAAGATAACTTGGACTCCTTCGCATCCGGCAAAGAACAAATCTATTATRGTAAAATATGGTGTAATACTGTTTCTGTGCAGGTCACCCAGGCCTTGATGTCGACGTTGGACAGTTCCTTGACAGCCTACAACTCAACAACTTAAAAGAAATTTTCGAAAGAGAACAAGTAAGAAGATTATGATTACTTTTAAAAATAACACAACACTTTTAAATTTCAAAGACATGTTTCGACTTTCATAAAGCCATCTTCAGTTTTAATGTGATTACATTTTACAATCAGTTTATATAGTAGTTATATATAAT